ATTCTACTCTTACACTCGCAGGGGAAAATTTTGTGATTGTGCTTGCGAAAGCTCCAATAGTTCAACTTATTCCCCGAATCATTGAACAAATCTGGCCCTATTTGTGGGTCCCAAAAATAATCTCGAGTTTGCCTAAATAGCTAATAGAGGCTAGGAAACAAGTGGGAGATGAATTCTAAAATTACTCTAACTTAGAAGTTAGGTTCATTTAAATGATAATGCGATTGATTATGATAAAATTAAAAATAATAATAAAATTTATTATAATTATGATTGAAAATATTATTATAATTATAATTAAAAAATTTTAATAAAAATTTTATATTTATTTTATTTTATTAAAATTAATATTTAAATTTAATTAAAAATATGATAAATTTAATCGTATTAAATTCAAACAACTATTTAAAAGGACCTCACTTCATGTCCACCTGACACCACAAAAAAATAAAATAAAAAATCGATGATTGTGACATGCTAACTCTTGTGCCTCGGCTCCTCATTCTTCCGGCATTTGATGGGTTAAAAGAAAATCAATTTTCCTCTTCCTATTTCAATCTTTTGTCTTCCACATCTAATATCTCCTTTGCCAATTGCTTGATTTCATCCGGGATTGCTGTTTTTGCCCTGTCAACATACATGCTTTTTTGTTTTTTTTTTTTTTTAAGCCTAGTGGGAATGATGATTTACTTGCCATTGCCATTGCAGGATTAAGCCCAAGATAATTCTTAAAATATGCCCTTAACTTTGTTAATTAATCATTATAATATTACCACTAATTTTTTTATTTAGTGGTAAGATATTTTTTATTTTTGATCAATATTATTTTTTTATTGGATTGATACAAACAAATTTATTTATATTAAATTTAATGAATTTATAAAAAAAATTATGTTTTCATAAGCTTTGATTATAATGGAATTCAATTAACAAAGTGAGGATCACTAACTTTATATATTCCAACTGCTTGATTACATAATTCAAACAAGTTCAAACCACAACCGCTACTTTTAGTGAAGGGGGGACAAGCTTCAAATAAGACATAAAATACCATCATCAACGGACCCTTTACATAAAATTTCAACCTCATCACCTAAACTTTTGAAAAATATAACTTTTTTTTTAAGAAAAAATCTAGAGATAAATAAATTATTCAATTTTTTAGATCAAAATAAGATGTATCGTACTTGATAATTTAATATAAATAACTATAAATCATGCATTCGAAATGATTCCAATAAACGATCATCAATAAAATTCGACCCAAAACTTTTTCATCGAATATAATAAATTTTAATCAATTAAACTAATCATTTGTTAGTGAAAAATATAAATTTCCTTCTTATAATATGATATGATATAAACTTCAACTTGTACATGATGTTTTTGCTGAAAATGACCGTCACACAAACGGGGTTATGCATACAGAGCCAAAACTCCGTTTTCAAGTGGATGATGAGGTATTTATCTGCTTAAATCCGATTTGATTTATTAATACTTCTAAACGTCATTTATTTTTATGTTCAATGGCATTTCAAAATGCTACTGAAAGACGGAACAAAAGAATTTTTTTTTTTTTTCGCAATTTAATTGCATTAGAAAGTTGTGACTTTCTAATGGTCACAGATTGACGATCCCTCTATGTTTGGAGCCCATCAATAATAGCTTTTTTGTGATGGAGACAGCACAACATGACTAGCACAACTTCTCCTTTCATAGGTTGCCAACTAAACTTCATTTTCCTAGTTATTTTCTTTGCATGGTTGTATTTCTTTTCTTTTTTTTTTCTTTTGCTACAAACTCAAAATTCCTCTTCCATATGAAAATCATTTTCATTTTCTTTTTATATTTGTCCTTCATAGTTTGTCACATTGAAAATGACTGAGATTGGTGGCAACTTATTAAGGAAAAATATGACTATTTATTATTATTATTTTTTAAAATTTTTTGAAGACGAAGGCCTTTGCTTTGGAAAATTTTTAAAGTTTTCATCGAAGAAAGAATTTTGAAAATTTTAAAATTATATTTTGATGAATTTTTCTTTTGTTTTCTTGGAAATGTTGGTTTGCACTTAGCAAAAAAACTTTTGTTTCTAAAATTGGTTTTATATATAATCCAAAGAGTTAATTTTTTTTTTCGGTACTTGAAGGTACCAAGTATTGAATTATGTCAATATGACTAAAAGTCCTATATAAATAGATCACAAAGTCATTAACAGTTAATATTTAATATATATTTATATACTATCAATAAATTATATAATCCTACCTTATTAAAAAAAAATTTATTCTCCAAATTTAAATATTTTTAAATAATAATGAAGTCGAACCATACTCAAACAAATGCTAAAAAGAAATCAATTTACACTGGTGTAAGTATTATATTTTTCTAGATCTTTAGATTAAAATTAAATGCATAACACTTAAACTTAATCATTTGATTAACAATTAAAAAAATATGTAACGCTTATATTGATATGCAAATAAATCCCTTTACATATATATAAATATATAAATATATGTGGTATAGCAGCTCATCTACTGGTGGACATCGGCTTTAAAGCCAAATAAAAAATAATAATAAAGCATATTTTAATAAGTTACAATAAAATTAAGTTGTCATTTTGCTAGATAAAACCAATGGTGAAGTGGAGAATGATTCAAAATAAAAAGAAAAACAATAATTGTGCTGATCAAAACAATGGAAGTTTATGAGCAAGTTGCATATAATTGAGCTCAAAATTCTCAATTGCTAAGAGGCCCACTGCCTTATCTTTAATTATAGATGTTCTCAATTACCCAATGCCTTTCACTATTTTACTCTCTGGCTGTTTTTGGGGGGCCAAGTTGGAGGTCTAACTGGATGCCTTTTGATTGGAAGGAGGTATTGCAAAGGAAAATCCTTTGGTTTCTCCTACCTCATGTACTCTTATTTTCGCTTTTGTTTCATTTGACGTCGTAATCATTTATTGACGTAACTAGCATAATTATTTCTTATATTTTTTTAACTTCATAACTAAATATTATTAGGGATCCTTTATATAATTTTTTATATCATCCGTCAAAAATTAAAAGTTGAGAATTCACAAGAGTTAGTAATTGTCTGGATCTCGTCATATCTTCAATTGAATTCAAATATCAATTTTAATGAAATCAAGTTAGTATAAATTTTTTATTAATTTTTTTAATCACAATTACAATAATTTTTGTATTTCAATCACAACTACAATAAATTTTATTATTATTTTTAATCTCATTTCAATAAATCTTTCCGTCCATCCAAATTGAGCCTTAATCCAGTTAGTGAGACGAAATTCTTTTGGCAATCAAAATTCGATTTTTGTAAAAATATATTAAAAATAAAATTTTGAATGTGTTAAATAGATGTAATAAACCACTCCTTTAAGATTTTCAAAAAAAGAATTATACTTGATAAAGTATAGAAATATCCTTGATCGTTTTATGAAAACATTTAGAGACAATGTCTTTGAAAGTTTTAGGTTGTAGTTTTAGAGAAAGGGAGGAAAGGGTTTATTAAATATGAAGGAACAGTTGTCACATAATTCATTAATATATATATATAATTTATATATTATTATATGATAAATAAAAAACACAGTGAAAATTTATTCTTTATGTATGAAATAATAATCCAACTAAGAAGGATTAATTTTTATTAGATTATTCAAAACTTAATGATTATAAAAAAGTTTCTACTGCTAATAGTTAACTTTTCTTAAGCTTTTGTTTTTTAAATAATAAAAGTTTTTCTTAGTTCCTCTTCCATTTCAAATTGAACGTCAATTTTGACTTGATAGGAGAACTAAGAAAAAGCACTTTGATTTTAGTAATTTTATATTATTTTTATTTTAAAAATATTTATAAATTATAATTTTAATGTCAAAAATTAAAAACATTAAAATTAATAATGTACATACAAAAAATAAAAATTATAGATTTTCGTAAAAGAAAATTAAAAATTATTTTAAAATGATCCAATAAACAAAGGGTAAATTACAAAAGCTCATGGAGAGAATAAATATACCCTTATGAGGTATGATGCAATATGAAAATATAAAGAGACAAAAAAAATGATATAATTTAAAATTTTAATAAATATTATAAATTTTGTAAAAGCAAGAAATTATATTTTTATTTAACGTATTGATATAAATTGAGATATAATAATTTTTATATTTTACATATATTAAATATAAAATAAATAAATATAAATACATAAATTATCATATTTACCCTATTATAAGTTAAAAAAAATAACAATTAAAATATTAAAATTTAAACTCATATATTTGAATTAAAAATTTAACACTCAACTAATAGATTATACGACTGTTGATTCTTAAAAATAAATTTACCTTTTGAATTATGATATTTATGGATACCTCAAAATTTTTTTTTAAATTTGAAGAAAAATTTTCACTAAACATTTCAAAAAATTTTCATGAACAACTTTAAAAATTAAAAAATAAAATTTTTTTTCTAAACACTCCAAAATTATTTTATGAACATTCGACAACAAATAAATCTACCCATAATATTTTTATATATTATACGTAATCACAAAAAGTACTAAACATACCACGACGGGCTCTCTTCCTTCCACAAAACCAAGACTACAAGTACAACCCTCCAAGAATTAACGGCAGTCTCATATACAGTAAAAAGTGCAGTGATGATGAAAGGCAAATAAAAATGGGTTGACATCAGCACCATCATATTGACAAACTCTGACGAACGACAAGTGATCTAAATCACACTTCATTGGTACGTGAACATCAATTGCCAATAAAGCGAGTAAGAAGACCATGCTGATGTATTATCAATCATGCATTGTCTTTAGACTTTGTAAACACAGAAGGGAAAAAAACTAAAACTGATTGAGCGCAGCCAAATATACATGAGAAGGAAAGGCGGCTTTCTATCTCATCTCGCCTTTGCCTCATCACTTTACTTGGCAAATCCAAACTCGTAAGTGTTAAGACTTTTGTTTTTTATTAGATTCCAACCATATCAACAAGATTTTATGTTCACATTCATGTTACAAGTTTCATACTTAACTTTTAAAGTTCCAAGATCTATGTTCTGTCATAAACTAAATCAGACCAGAATCATTTTGTTTGCACAAATTCCTGCAAGGAAAAATAATCTTTTATAATTTCTGGTATGTCTTTCTTGTCCATCTGCTTCTACTGTTTTTATGTGTTTGTGTTGCTGGTGTTATTTATTTATTTATTTTTGGTTGTGTTGGTCTGGAATCTGGATAAGAGAGGATGTGCGTAATCTCAGGGACTAAACATTTCTGGGTTTGTTTTTATTTTTTTTGGTTTTATGAATGCTTTATCTTTGACTGTTGGTGGGTTTTCTTTTGTTTATGAGTTGTCTTTGGCAATTTGGATTCAATGACTTATTAGAAGGGGGGATTGGTTTTGTAAGTCCTCCTTTGTTTTCTGAGTTCATATGCTACCCAACTGCTTTGGTATTTTATACTTATCTTTCAGAGCTAATATTTTCCTTTTTTTATGATGATAATTTAGATAATCACCTTTGCTTTAGTATTACAATTGGAATGGTTTCCGTTTGGAGATTTTTTAGGAGGTGCACGAATTATGCATACCAAATTGCTTGTACAATTATAGCAATACAAACTATTTTGTTTTGTATGTTGATATTCTATTTGGATTTAAGCATTCAAACAACCATCTAAGCAAGGTGCTTTTGAAAATTGACCAGAAGAATCCTTCCTGAAATCTGGAGATTGAAACTGAAGGTTCTTTATGAATATATTTAATCTTTTTCTTGCACTTTATAGAAGGATGGTAATTTCTAACCGGAGTTGTAAGTGAAACTCACAAGGTACCTCTTTTTATTACTATAATTATCTTTTGTAAAAGGAAGTGATGCTTATAAGTTTGAGATTATAATGAGTTAGACTGATATTGGATGGAAGATGTTTTTCTTTCCTTTTGGTTTCTGAGGTTTTCAAAAAGCTATCATTCTTATGCGAATTTTAGAACTGAAAATTTTGGCCTGTTGGGCCCTCGGAGACATGAGATTCCTTTCCGCCCATGTCTGACATTCTCCTGGACTGTTCTCTTTGGATTCTGTTTTATCTACTGAAAAAATTTATATTATTAAGGTTTATCTACTGAAGAAACTTTGACAGTTTCGTGTTGCTCATGTTGAAAAATTATTCATGAGTAACGTTTGTCTCTTTTGTTCAGCACCTGTTGTCTTGCTACAAGCCAGTAAATAATGAAGTATTGGTAATTGTATACGTTGGATGACAGGGATGTTATGTAATTAGAAATTACATCATTTAATAGCCTTATCTCAATGCCTGAGACCTTGTATACTCTGTAGCGAAACATAACACTTGTTTCCTAGTCCAAAAATTGAGGTATCCATGTACTATTTGTCGCGTTTTATTTGATATGGTACCAATTTTGATTATTGAAGAAGGTGATATTTGTTTCAATAGCATTCATTAGAACATTTTGCAAATTTGCTCCTGTACATAATCACAGAGAAGGATAAAAAAAATATCATGGTGATTATTTTGTATATTAAAGAGCTAGAAACCTTGTGCAGGGTTTCCTGGTATTATGTCATTGGAGGAATTTTCCAGTGTGACATAATCTATAGTATATTCCTTGCCTATCTCTATATGTTGTAACTTTTGTGTGCAACCGCAGTATGGCTTGGCTTGGTTATGCAACTAGAATCATGAAGAGAATCATATTTATACTGGAAATGGGAAATGCATTTATGCCTTTGGGTGCACTGAGTGTCAAAAAAATTCAAAATTTTCTGTTTTCAATGTTGGAATTTCAGATTTAACACCATAACTTGCTTATAGGTCCTTTATTGCATACTTCCAGTTGAATTTGGAGATTTCAATGCTGGATCCACTGTTAGCTACAATTTCTGGTTTGATTTAAATTTTAGATCTCATAGCTTCGCAATATGTAAAAGAAAAGGGATTGTAAGATGGATAAGGCAGTGGATCTTATCATTTAAATATGTGGAGATGATTTTGATTCTATTTTGGGGTTCATGAAGCTCACCTGTTTCGTTTTGGAACTCGGGTGGCCGTGAGGCACTGTTAGTGGCTTGAGGAATTAAAGTTTGGTGCGGGTGGAAATCTGTAAAGATATTATGAAAACTTTTAGCTTTGCTAGTTGCAAAAGTGTGCAAGAAGTCTCCTAAAGACAGCTTTATGATGGTGGTGCTGGTGTTTGAGTTTTTGGAGACATTGATGGATGCGTTTTCTTTTGTTCTGTATTTTATGTTTCCGCAATATAAATCGTGTCTTAACTAAAGAGTTTCACTGTTTGGCTGTCAAAAATAAGGATTGGGAGGTCCCATTTTTCTTGAGACCACATCTCTTTTCATAATTTCATAGCATTTTTGTGGAAAAACTAAGAAATAAATTAATATGAAAACTGAATGTATATTGAAAAACTACTTATTGAGAATTATACAAGAATCTTAGGTTTATATATAACTAACTAGGGGTTAAACTAGGAAACTAAATCTTCCTAAAAAACTAATCTTATAATTGAGGGATTATCTATCCTAATTTTAGGGATACAAATACTTAATTTTAGAGATATAAATATAAATATTCAGATTACAAGATTACAACCAGCTGTAAATAAGTGTTTCTCACACTCTCCCTCAAGCTGGTGAATAGGTGTTTTTCATTCCCAATTTGAAAATAATTTCTTGAAATGTTGCACTGCTGAGACCTTTAGTTAACACATCGACAAGTTGACCCTTGGTTAATACATAAGGTGTACAAATCAACCCACTGTCTAGTTTTTCCTTTATGAAATGCCGGTCTACTTCAATGTATTTTGTTCTATCATGTTGCACAGGATTGTGTGCAATTCTTATTGCAGACTTGTTATCACAGTAGAGTCTCATTAGTCAATCCCACTTGATCTTCAAGTATTCTAGGATAATCTTTAACCATAGTAGTTCACAAATTCCTTGAGCCATTGCTCTGAACTCTGTTTTAGCACTTGATCTTGCTACCACATTCTATTTTTTACTCCTCCAAGTCATAAGATTATCACCTAAGAAAGTGTAGTAGCTTGAGGTGGATCTTCTATCAGTTATTGAACCTGCATAATCAGCATCTGTATACGTTTTTAGAACTAACCCCGAATTTCTTTTGAATAAGATGCCTCTCCCAAGATTAACTTTCAAATAGTGCAATATACGGTAAACAGCCTGTAGGTGCACTTCTTTAGGACTATGCATAAATTGACTTATCACACTCATAGCATATGCTATATAAGGTCTAGTATGTGAGAGATAAATGAGTCTTCCAACTAATCTTTGGTATATTTTTCTATTTACAGCAACATCTTCATTAGCTTCTCCAATTTTATGATTAGGATCTATAGGGATATTTGCATGTTTAAATGCAAGCTTTCCAGTTTTCTTCAGAAGATCCATCACATATTTCTATTGTGAGATGAAAATACCATGCTGTGAGTGAGCTACTTCAATTCCTAGGAAGTACTTCAATCTCTCTAGCTCTTTTATCTCAAATTCTCTAGCCAAACACTATTTTAGAGATTCTCTCTCTTTTTCATCATCTCCAGTTACAATTATATCATCAACATACACTAATAGAACTGTGACTCTCTCTGAATCGAAGTGCTTGATAAATAATGTGTGATCTCATTGACTCTATTTATATCCCACTGCTAGCATCACTTTGGCAAATCTCGCGAACCAAGCTCTAGGAGACTGTTTAAGGCCATATAAAGCTTTTTTCAGCCTGCATACTTTGTTTGCTTCTAGATGACCTCCAAATCCCGGTAGAACCTTCATATATATTTCTTTTTCCAAATCACCATGAAGAAAAGTATTCTTTACATCAAATTGTTGAAGATGCCAATTGTAATTTGCAGCCAATGATAACAAAATCTTAATTGTATTCATCTTAGTAACTAGAGCAAAGGTTTCCTGATAATCCACTTCATAGGTTTGATTGTAGCCCTTAGCCACTAACCTAGCTTTATACCTTTCAACAGTACCATCTACCTTGTATTTTACAATGAAAACTCATTTACACCCCACTGGATTTTTTTTCTTTAGGCAACTCTACCAGTTCCCATGTCTGATTTTTCTTTAAGGCCTCTATTTTTATTTTCATGGCTTGCCTCCATTTCTCACTGGATAATGCTTCAGATAATGTAGTTGGAACAGAAATAGTGTTTAGGCTCATAAGAAAATTTTTGTGGGATGGTGAAAATTTTTCAAATGACACAAAATAGAGATTGGGTATAGTGGATGCTTGGTACATCTTTGGTTCCTTTTCTAATAGCAATAGGCAGATTATAATCACTAGTTATAGTTTTAGGAGATTCATGCTCATTTTGAGAAACAGAGTAAAAAATAGTTACTTCATTTTCAGAGTTAGGATCAGGTTCTTGGACTGTCACTGGTTCAGGATCTGGAACTTTTCTTCTTGAGTATACCTGTAATTTCTTTATAGAATCAAGAACAATATTATCCTTTGTCACATCTTCCGTATTTGGAATGGGTTCAGACTCAAATTCAGTTTTGACTTGGGCTCAGAGAAACAGGTTTCAACTCAGAAGAATTAATGGGTGTAACTATTGAAGAAGGGAGCAAATTAAGCAAAAAGAAGTCTTTATCCTTATCTTCCATGAATAAAGTCTCCCTTTGAAGATAAGGTTGAGTAAAAAATGGTTTATTTTCTTCAAAAGTGACATCTGCAGACACATAAAATTTTTTGGTATGAGGATGATAGCACTTATATCTTTTTTGAGTTGAATAATACCCCACAAAAATACACTTAATCGTTCTTAGATTCAACTTTTCTCTGTTATGACTGTGAACATGAACAAATGATGTACAACCAAATATCCTAGGTGTGAGATTGTTTGTGGTATTAAGGTTGGGATAAAATTGTAAGAGTAGTTCCATAGGAGTTTTAAATCTCAAAACTTTTGAAGGTAACCTATTTATAATGTGTGTGGCAGTGAGAACAACTTTTCCCCAATAAGATTTAGGTACATTTGCTTGAAAAAAAAAGGCTCGGATTGTGGCTAATAAATGGTTATTTTTTCTCTCTGTCACTCCATTTTATTGTGGAGTATTAACACAAGATGATTCATAGATAATCTCCTCTTTTTGGAAATAGGTGGATAGACTCTGGTTGAAGTACTCTCTTACATTATTAGACCTAAATCTCTTGATTCTCACTCTAAATTGATTTTAAATCATGTTTTGAAAGCTTAAAAACACACTATTCACATCTGATTTTGATTTAAGTAAAAAAACTCAAGAGACCCTGGTACAATCATTTATGAATGAAACAAACCATCTCGCACCATAAATATTAGGAATTGTAGAGGGACCATAAATGTCACTATGAATCAAGTAAAAAGGAGTAGAACTTCTTTTGTTATTGATTGGAAAAGACACACGTCTATGCTTTACAAGTTCGTAAATATCACAATGAAAATCTTCGACATTTAATCCTTTAATCAAAGAAGGAAACAAGTTTCTCAAAGTTCCAAACGAAGGATATCTAAGACGAAAATGATAAAGCCAGATTTTGTCTTTATTGGAAGATTTTTCAAAAAGAAATGACAAAGGGAAAGTATTCTTGATATTACTTGTGTTATTTGATGTCTCAAGATAGTATAGTTCATCATTCTCCTTAGCAAGTCCAATCATCTTCTCCGAACTTTGATCCTGAAATTCACAATAAGAGAGATAAAAAGTTACTTTGCAATTCATATCTCTGGTAAGTTTTTGTATAGATATCAGATTAGTAGACAATCCAAGAACATGAACATTTTTAAGAACAAACGAGTGATTAACTTGAACATCTCCTAATCTTGCCACTGTAATAAGTGAACCATCTATAACAATAATTTTCTTATTACTAGGACACAAGTTATATGTACTAAACTTTTGTGAGGAATGTGTCATATGGTCTGTGGCTCTTGAGTCAATGACCCAAGAACTCGTAATAGGCTTAGCCGAGACATTTAATCCATGAGAATTATAAGCTTTATTTGAACTAGAAACCTTACCCAAAGAACATACCATAATAAGCTTTTCAAGAATTTTCAATAAGTTTTTCAGTTGTTCAATCTCTTCCCTGTCAAACTTTCCTTGTTTTTGAGATATCTGTAGGACTCCAGTGATTTTTCCAGTTGATATTTCCTCAAATTGGGTGATAGTAATATCTTTCTTTGAAAGGGTTTGGCAATGAAAGCATAAACAGGATTCGGCAATGAAAGCCTAAAATAGAAATCAACAATAAAGGTTGAAAATTTTGCTCCCCAAAAAGAGCCTAAAGCTCTGATACCATGTGAAAAAATTAAAAAATAAATCAGTGTAGAAATTGAATGTATATTAAAAAACTGTTTATTGAGAATTATACAAGAATCTTAGGTTTATAAACAACTAATTAGGAGTTAAACTAGGAAACTAAATCTTCCTAAAAAACTAATCCTATAATTGAGGAATTGTTTATCCTAATTTTAGAGATATAAATATTTAATTCTAAAGATATAAATATAAATATACAAATTACAAGATTACAACCAACTGTAAAAAAATATTTTCCCACAATTTTTCTGCAGAGCATTTAACTAAAGCCTTCTTGTCTTAGTGCTGTTTGTACTAGCAGCCCTTAGATATTATATTACAAATGATAGACAGTTTGTATGAGCAAAATGAAAAAAATGGACAGTGAACAGAAAGAATCTCTCTTTGCAATTTTCCCTTCAAGAACAAGTTTCTGTACTGGTATCTAAGGAGGCCCACCTGGCCTTGGTTTACACGACGGAAGGTAGGCCTTTTCCATCCCATGAACTGCACCCCACTTCCTAGGGTTGGAACATAGGACCTTCAAGTTTTAACCTTTGAAGTGCTCCCTTGGGTAGTGGAATTTCTGTAGCTTCCTGGTTATGGCAAGTAAGATGTATTTACCTGAAAAGATTTAGATGTGTGGCTATAAATTCCTGTATAACATTTCTTTCTAGTTCTGGGATGGTTCGGATTTTGGGACCTTTGATATATTAGAGAAGTCAAACCTCATGTGAAAGGGAATTATTAGTAATGAATTCAATTACTCTGTCATGTATGATAGTGAAAATCTTTGTTCACTGCAAAGGCTCTGAAATATCTATCCTGCTCTTAGTTTATTAAACTTAACTTTTTCATTTTAAGTTTATCAACTGCTGTTTTCTCCCAAACATGCATCATTCATGCATTTTAGTGCTTCACAGCTTTTGCTGCAACTTTCTTTATTTTTGTTTATGTGAAAGAAGCCTATAGCTGTCCACAAGACATTTAATGCTTATACTGCTAATGGTGTGAGCCACTATATGCATTTAAAATTTTCCATTTGAGTTTTTTAGTAATCATTTGGTTAATTAGATTTTATTTATATAAGATCTTTGTTTTCTTCATTTAGCCAATGCTGTTATGCTGATTGCTTAACTTTTGTTCTGTTTTACAGGTCCCTTTCTGGGAAGGCATTGTTTATGTTTGTTGTCTTAAAATGCCGATGGATTTGATTTTATAGTTCATTTGTCCTCAAAGTCAGTGGGTTGATTTGATACTTATCTTCTTCCCACTTTAAACTGAGCAGCACAAGTTTTTCAGGTTTAAAGATTTAATTATTTGAAGAATGTAACCTTTGGTGATAACATTGTGCAGTCCTTGCATAGACATGCAGACCGTAACTGACTGTTCTGGTGGATGCTCAAGTTAGTGGACGCTTAATCTTGAAAAAGCCTCGACGTTCGATCTCTGCTCTGCTATGCAAGATCTGTGATTCTCATTGTTGACTTCTACAATATTCTGGTATTTGTCAATTTGATAGCAGGATGAAGGTTGGGATGTCATCCAAGACCATGAGTCACCCTAGCTTTGTGTCTGTGACACAAACTGAGTCTAGCAAGGGAATTGGAGAGTCATATCCTACTGCTGTAGCCTCAATTCACAATTTTCCAAGTATCGGTTCAGAAGGTCAATCTTCGTTGGCTGGTGAATGTTCGTCTCCACTTCCCTTTCCTTTTATACGAACAGAATCATTCAATTCTAGTCACATGCAAGCAACTACAGTCCAACTTAAAAAGAATAATCTAAAATCCGGGCCAAGTAGCCCCATTTCTCCAAGTTCTCATTCTAAGAGTGCATTTTCACGTTCTTCTGTGTTCTGTACCCATTTATATTTGTCATCTTCGTCTACATCTGAAACCCAAAGACAGCTTGGAAATTTGCCATTTCTTCCACATCCTCCCACATGTCACCAGTCCATTTCTGCTGTTGATTCGTCAAAATCTCCTGTGGTTTCTAGTGAGGACTTGAGCAATCAATATAATGAGGACAACTCAGAAGTTATTTTGAAGGACTTCCTTAATCTGCCTGGAGATTCTTGTGATAGCTGCTTTCATGGTATGCATTCTGAAAGTGATAATTATGCCCTCACTGGACAATTAGAGCTACAATTTTTGTCTGATGAACTTGACATAGCTATCACTGACCATGGAGAAATTCCCAGACTTGATGTAAGTATGTTGCAGCTATCAATGAATTGCATCTTGATAATATCTAATTGTTGATAATAATTTTATTTATGAGTATAATAGATATGATTCTTCATTTAAATAGTATTTGAAGGAAACCCGAAATAGAAAACATGAGAGGAGCAAAAGGAAAAATTTGTACTTACTCTCACCCTTTCTTGCTTTAAATACTGATGCTTACTTAGGACATATATGAAACACCTCAACCTTCATCAAACCCAACTGTAGGGTTGACATGCAACCAAAATTCTGCTTCTGTGGCACCATCTATTGATGCTCCTGCAAGTGTTGCTCTCTCTGGACCAGCAGCTGTTCACAAGCCAAGAATGAGATGGACTCCTGAGCTCCACGAGTGTTTTGTAGAGGCTGTGAACAAGCTTGATGGGCCTGAAAGTAAGTAGGTTATGCTATCTATTCTAAAAATAAAAACTTCATAGTTCTCTTTTATTAGGAGTCCAGTTTATATTTCAATATAAAATTGCGATTTTTTCTTGATCAATTCAGTAGATTGAGAAAAACTCAACATATGCCATAAATAAAACTCATTATTTTAATACATGATGCAGAGGCAACTCCAAAGGGTGTTCTAAAGCTTATGAATGTTGAAGGTTTGACTATCTACCATGTGAAGAGCCACTTACAGGTACTTTAAGTAATTCTATAAGATGAGTGGAACATATATTTCTGAGTTAATTACTACTGATATTTATCCTACATCCTTACTGTCTTTTACCTTTACAGAAATATCGACTTGCCAAATATATGCCTGAGAAAAAAGAAGGTAATAATTTCATTATAAAAAATTACTTGTCCTCATTGTTGTCATTATCATCAAATTTTCTTGTAAAACCAATATTTTAGTTAATATTCGCATTTCAGCTATTCGGTTTTGTCAACTTTATGCTTTTGTGCACAAGTAAAATTTATTTTGCAGAGAAACATTGTTGACTGCTTCAGTATTTTCATTTTCCGATATAAGATCTTGCAACTCCTAAACTATAGTTTAAAAGGAGATATTTAATACCGAATTTCTTTGTAATAAGCATTTTTCACAAAATCTTTGACACTTTCAGGGAAGAAGACTTCCAGCCCTGAAGAAAAGAAAGCAGCCTCAAGTAGCATTGAAAGTGATGGAAAGAAAAAAGGGTAACTGTCGTTTTATCTTTCCCATTTTCTTGTACAAGGCACTGGATAAAATGTTTCTTCACCTTTTTGGTCCTAGGGGCACGCTAATCACTGAAGCTCTGCGCATGCAAATGGAAGTACAGAAACAATTACATGAACAGCTTGAGGTATTTATTATGTTTGTAAAGTGTGCATTCTGAATTTTTGACTGATTGCTAAATATACCTTGATTTAAGTGATCTATCAGTGTCATGCTTACTTCATCTGTCGATTTGGTGATTCAATGTCCCTGCCAGTAATTATTCCTAACTCAGAGTTTGTTCTATTTATTATTATTATTACTTTTTTAAAATTGTCTTACTGGCAGACTCAGACAACTTATGGATGTCCTTATCATCGCTTCTAGGAGGTTGTCTCTGTTTATGGATGTGGTTGACACCTTACTACTGATGTTGGCTGTGTTTTCATTTTGCCTCTTGTTATTCATTATCCTTGTTCATGTATACTCCTTTTGTTGGCCTGAAAAGCTGATTAGCTGAATATAAGAACAAAGCTGGAACTAATATTTGATGATTTCATAGCTTTAAGTTGATAGGTAACTGTTTCAAAGTATGCTTTTCTGATTGATTTTAACTTGTTCCGCCATTTCTATATTCAATGCACAGCTACAAAGGTCACTTCAGCTACGCATAGAGGAACATGCAAGGTATTTGCAGAAGATCTTGGAGGAACAGCAGAAAGCTGGCAGCGCTTTAATTCCTTCACTAAGCTTGTCAACGTTGACTGATCCGAACCAAAACTCAGAATTGCAACCTTCTTCTCCATCAGCGATTGCCTCGCCTTCTCATCCTTCTGAGTCTAAAACCGAGTCATCATCATCTCTACCATCAAAGCATAAAGCTCCTGATGTCGATGATTGTAAACCTGAATCAAGTCCAAAAAGGCCACGCATCGAGGACAAGCCAGAGTCATCCATAGATGAGGAGGCTGTGGTGGAAAATCCTGTGCAGTAACAGCTTCACTCAATCCCCTTCAATGCATCAGTTTCTAAGTCACCCCAGCTTTTGTAGATACATTAATCCAGTGTAAAATAGTCTTTGAATTTAGATTTGCTTCATTTGTGTCCAAGACATTTATGAAATTTGGTCAAGTGGAAAAAGAAAGACAGACGACTGTTTTCGTCTGCGATTACAAAGACAAGTTATTGAATTGGTTTTTGCCTCAGTTTCTCTATATATTTTCTTCCAAATAAAGGTACTTTAGTTTTTGTCTCCTTGATTTCTACCAATTGCTACAGTTTTTTTGGCCAAATCTTTCAATTACTTTGTAACAAAAAATGTAAAAGCGAAAAAAGAAATAGAAATATGTTAAGAATGCTGAGCAACGGAAAACAGTAGGGAACCAGTTTCTTTCTTTTTCAGGTGCCGTCTTGTTTGTTTGCAATAATTTTCCATAATTTTATTATTATTTTTATTTTAATTGTCACTAGAAATAGTCACCCCTCTATGCTGGTGCGGACTATTTTTCTGTAAATTTTTTTTATTATTTATCGATTTTTTATTTTGAATATATTTATAATTATTTTAATATAATAAAATAAATAAAAAATATTATAAAAGCATTAAAATTAATATATATAGTATTTTATATATTACAATTATAATTTTTTGTTAATTTTTTATACTATATTTTGAACGTTATAATTTTATTAATCATTTCATTAAATGTATGATTTTCAATTTATTGTAGTTTATAAATTTTTTGGTAAAAATATTTAAAACAAAATAAAAAATAAATTTTTTTGTTATTCATTTTTACATTTATAATTATCACATTATATTTTTTTAATTTTTTTAATTTTTTATAATAATTTAATACTTATTTAAGTTTAATGTAATTAATTTAATAGAGGTATTATAATAATTTTCATAAAATACCACATGTAAATTTTTCATGAAGTAATGGTAAGGGTATTTTAATAATTTAATAAATGGTTAATTTTATATTATATTAAAATTTGATGCTTAATTTAATAGTGGCATTATAGTTATATTAAAAGAAAACACCATATATCAACCTCCTATGAAGCAATCACATGAGTTTTTATAATTATGATAATAGAAATATTATAATAATTTTGACCAATGCGAGATATTGATTAAACGAAAAGTCGTGTCATTAAAAAATATTAAAATATTTATCGGTTATTAGCATTTTGGGGATGCTTATCAAATTTGATTAGGCTTGTTTATAAATTAGAAAAGAACATATAAATTCAATGTTTCAAAGGCACTAATACATGCATGTGTTTAATTTTATTTTGCGATGGCATGAAAAATATAGGTACAGTTTGCCATAAATTATGAAAATGAATTGAATGGGATGGAATTTTCTTTCTTATATATATAAGAAAGACATGGACTATGGAGATAAAATGCCATCATTCAATTAATACATTATTGGTTAATGACAATGAAAGTATTTTTGCTTCTTGTACTTGAAAAAATGGCTTTTTGTAGGTTGTTAAAATGAAAAGTGAATAAGTTTTCGAGGTTTTCAATAATTTCATGACAATGGCAATGATGTGGTTGGTTGTATACCATATTAACATATAGGCTTTGATAATAATATTGGTTTGTGAAAGCCGTAAGCTTTAGAGTTATCCAATCAATGATTTAACCAATGCAAATTCATCACAAATTTTACATGAAATATGAGTAGAACTCATATTATAATTATTTTGTATACTATTTTATGAAAATGATTCTTTGGATTCATGTTTCATGACTTGCATTGATATGTTGATCTATATATGAACATATTGATCACAAAATGATTATGAAAGTATTTGAAATTAGAGTTAAATATACTATAGACTCTTATTGTAAACAGGCATATTAGTCCTATAAGTAAAGTTTGAATTTATTATATATCTGAAATTGTTTTGACCAATTAAAAGTGATAAATAACAGAGATATATAGGCTATACAATGGTGGAGAAATAAAAGTTCTCATAAAATTTTAAAATCAACTTTAGAGGTTTCAATAATCATGAACTTGAAATTAGCCACTGGGCAATTACTTTATGCATTGAAAATTCATGATATCATTTGAGATAGTTAGTTTTCACTAAAAGCCATTATTATAAATGAGATAATTTTAATAGTCAAATCTATATAAATTGTAAGTATGAGGTGGATTATTATGGTTAGCTTAAAATAGCCATAAGCCAAAATTGATGCCACAATCTTGATCACGTTGTGGTAATTTTTGTTATGTATATGGCATACTTCATGGATTGTACAAAATGATTTATCATCTATGGTTTTATATAGTGAAAATTTTAAAGTATATTTACTTTGGAAGCCATGAGTGATTCAAAGATCTTGTAAATTTGAAAACTTTTATAATAGCAAAAATGATGTTATTTGATCATTTGGGTGATGAAAATGGTTTTGTTGTCAATGATGAAATAGATTTATATAAATATTTATGCATTGACATAAAAGTCTTAAAAGGAGATTATAGAAGCATGATTATATTTGAAATCTGCTTATTGATGTAAACTCTTATATTGAGTTAAAATATAAAAGTTTTGAAATTTTATTAAAATATTAAGATATCAGCTAATTATCTTTCACTAAGAGTGGATTTGGAGGCCTCTTACTTTAAAAAAAGAAACCATCAAATAGTAAAAAGATAAATGAATGGTAACTTGATTAAGTATATATGATATCTTGATAATTGAATGAGATATTCTTTAATAAAAAAATGCATACTTGCACATGGTGGAGGTGATAAGAATTAAAAGAAATAAAAATTGTCACTATATTGTTGTAAGATATTAGTATAATTTTATGAGCAAATTATACAAGCTAATAAGTTTAAACACTTATTAAAGTAAAGTTATAAAAAGGTTCTTAAAAATCTTAAAAGGATTAAAATCATTTAGTTTATTCATTGAGTTTATCCAATTGTACTAAAAGTATAATTGTATTAAAAATGTACAAAAGTGTGAAAATAGAATGGTTGAAATTAATAAAATATAAAGTTGTGGCCATAACCAAAATCAACTATTTCTTAAAATGATAAGAATGTGGCAACAATGTCTGAAGCATATAAATGATATGCAAAATGAAAAAGTTAGGACATATTAGCCTGAAGTGATTATATTATAAATTTAATTTCAAGTGGGGGTAATTACCATAAAAGAAAATTGAATTCCAAAATATTTTAGTAGTAGTACTACAAGTAGAATGGATTTAAACCCTTACTATTAGACACCAATAATGGGAACCCAATTTTGAATTAGTAACCTCTAATTACAAAGCTTAATGGGTAAAAATAAGTTATTATTATGTGTCTATTAAATACTAGTAAAATCCATTCAAATTTTAAAAATTAGTATGATTTATTGCGTGAGGAGAATGAGTTTTTATACTCTCAATAAAGTTTTAAATGTCTAAATCAATGGAGACATTATGGAAACTCTACTTATATAAACATAAAAGTGGTGTCGGTTCAACAATAAGAATTGGGTGTGTTATATCTTCAATTCTAACACTAAGAGATGAGGTTTAATTTGCAGACACCATCAATTTCGTTAGAATTTTAAGATATATATGCTAATTGAATGTTTAAATCAAGAGATACTTTCTTGTGTTTATAACATTTATTTATGTGAAAAGTAAAAATTAAGCACCAATATTTCAAACTAGTGAGAGATTGTTAGTAGTTTAAAATGTGGTGCATCTCACATTAGACAGAAAGATTTAATTATTAATGAATAAAATTAATTTTGTATTAATTTTATTTATATTTTAAATAATTATGTTTGAATAGAAATAATTATCATACAATAAATGATCATAACTATTTGAATATAAATAGATTATTATTCATAAAAGGTCATGATTATACATAAGGTAATAATTATCTGAATAGAAGTTTATGTCTGTTTATTCATTACAAATAAATCTTTCAATATAACCATTTTCACTACTTCTGATTAGAGGGTTTGAAGCATTGTTGTATCCTAAAGGCATAATTACCTTTAAGAAAGTGTTTTTTATGCCTCAAAACCAAAATTCTTTTTTATTATTTCTTTTCTCTTTTTTTATTTTTTCTAACAACAATATCCTCTTGGAACATCATATCTAGCTTATCATCACCCCACTACGTTCCGTTCAACCCGAAAAAGTCCCTTACCCTTTCTTCTCCTGCTAAGCAGTTGGTTCTAGGCTAAACAACTATCTATCGGTATCCATTTATCCTGCCATACCCTAACGCTTTCTCCATTGCCTACATACCATCTAATCCCAAGTTCTAGGGTATTTTTCCTCATTCGAATGCTCTTCCAAGTATAGGATGGTGACTTTAGTGAAGAAGTGTTTTGTAGTAGGTGTTTCTTGTTGTGTATACTATGGTTGGGATACTTTTGAAAGTTTGATATTTTTATAATTTTATGAAGCTTACTGTTAAAATATTAGTTGATTGCTTCTGTAGGGCATATTTACATTGTAACTCAATATATATAAAATATTTTTTTTATTATTTATTTAAGTTTATATTTATATATATGTATTATATTAATAAAATTATTATGTAATTTTTTTAATTTAAGATATTAATTTAGTAAAAATATTATATTTATGTATAATTAAGATATAATTTATATTAAAAAATATTTTTTTTATAAATATTATAATAAATTAAACTTATTAAATTAATTTCGGGTTGGATTGGATTGATTATAGTTTTATACATATGTGGATAAAGTTGGGTATGAAAAATAATATTTTATAAATATTATATTAAATTAAAATTATTAAATTAATTTCAGGTTAGGTCAAATTGATTACGATTTTATACATAAGTGGATCAAGTTAAGTATGAAAATTAATATTTTAAGTACTTACTTTATAAAATCAGGTTAGGATAGGGATTAAGACGAGCAAAAACCCGTCCTAACCCGATCTAACTCATTGCCATCTCTAACAAAAACTATGTTTTTTAAGAAAAAAAAATGTAATTTATATCCATGATAAAGACTACATCTTTTAAAAAGAAAACATAATATTTGTGAAAATTTTGAGACTTGCTATTTCATTTATTCATGTCTATATCCATAAAAAAACTATAATGTAGTTAATCTATTACTTACTATCATAATATATAAATTTGTGGATCTATCATTATATATAAATTTTATGAGTCACTACCAATCTTTTTTTATATAGACGTGATTGGTCACTGTAGACACTTCATTTAGTTTGTGATATTTTTTTATTTAATTTTAGAAATTTAGAAATTTGTTTAGTTTAGGATTATTAATTTTGTTAATTAATTGATTTATGATTTTTTTAAAGAAAAAAAATAAGAAAAGAAAGAGTTTGATTCGATTTAAAGTATAATGTTCTAATTAAAAAAATGTATTGGCTTAAAAAGTGGACTTGGATTAAAAATCTAAAAATGATTTCAATTAGGAGATTGAAACCAAAAAACCCTTCTTTTATTGTGATTTGGATTAAAAACCTATAAAAAGATCTCATGAGGATGAATGAAGAATCAATCATAAAAAATCAAGAGAGAAAGAAAAAGCAAAAAAATTAAGAGTTATTTTATAGTTTTTTTTTGTGTTTTAGGTTTAGATAATTAGGATTTTCTTTGAGGAGTTCTGCGTTAGAGAAAGAAGTTGAGAAAAAACATAATTACAAAGGCTCACATATTTTGGAATCAATTATAGCCCAATTTATTTGGTAATTTTTATTTTTTTCTTCTTTATTTGTATATCTGTTTATATTATTTAATTGTTTCTCTTTATTCTTTTAAAATAAATTTTTATATTAAATTCATGATTCTTAGTAAAAGATTAAAAGATTTAAATATTGAATTATGAATTCTATTAAATAATTGGAGAATTTCATAATAAATTTTCAAAAAATAATTTTTCAATCCTACTAAATAATTAGAGGATTTAAATTTAATTTATGTTAAATCTTACCAAACTATTGAAGGATTTAAAGACCTTTATTTTTAAAATTTTTATAAAAAAATTTTTAATAAAAATCTCACTAAATAATTGGAGGATATATATTGATATAAAATTTTACCAAACAATTAAAAGATTTTACTATTTAATTTTTAAAAAATAATTTTTAAAAAATATATTAATGAATCTGACGACGCAATCTTTTTAGAGTGAGATACGAAACTCTATGAATATTCCTTAAATAAAAAAATTATTTTAAATTTCTATCAAACAATTAAAATAATTTTAAGAATAATTTGTATGGATAAATAACTTTTCAATCCAATGATTTTTCAATAATGTTTGTATGGATAAATAATTTTTTAGATATCACATTAATTATTAAATTTATAATTTAAATATTACATTAAATATTATATTAATTTATTAATCCTATTAAAAATTCGTATTACGCCAATGAAATGACTTCGTTTTTTTCTTAACCAAAACCTTCTCAACCAATTAGGCAACTTGAGCTTGGTTTCTAGATGATGAGTTCCACTTACTTCTGATTGATTCTCTTGGTCTTGCAGTATTAGGATTGCCACAAAGATATAATTTTATTTTTAATAAGCAACACTTTCCCCTCCAAAAGCTAAAGCAATGAGGCAAAAAAAGATGAACAAAAATGAGGTGAACCCACTCAACAACACAGTGGACCTAAACGGAAAAATGATCGATCCAATATTCAATGTTCGTTTACCAAATACTGATCACCTGCCTTTTACCTTGCGAGCAGGACACACTGTGCCATGCGTTTATGAAATGCTCTGCCTCCATATTAAATGACCCAATTAAAATCTTCCACTACCCGTGGTTTTTTTATAATTAATTATTATATCTAATTAAATTATAATTATTAAATAATTAAATAATTAAATTCATATACAATAAAATATAATTTTAAAATTTTAAATTTTACTATCTTTCATGACATTAAAGAAAAAATCACTAATATTACCCATGTTTTCTTCTAATAGACGAAAGTTACAAATTTCATAAAATCAAAGCAATCAAACGCCTATTTTCTCCTTTATTTTCTCAAATATAAATAAATAAAATTTCTAATAAGTTTAATTTAATCGTTCCTCTTTAAAATAATTTATTTTAAAATTATTATAATTTTATTTTTATATCTAAAATTATAAAAAATTAAATTTTAATTATTAAAATTAAAAATTTCAATACTTTATCAGTTAAAATAAACATACAAGATATTTTGTCGAAAATTTTGGACCATTGATTGATCCATCACTGTAGGACGTAGACCACACATGATTAGTTCGATATCGTCAATCATTGATTTAAAAAGTTTTCAAAAATATATAAACGTATCATGGTGGTACTTTTTTAACAAATAGCATTTCTAACATTATTGGGTCGATAGAAATTTTTATGAAAGGTGCTGTTGAAATAGCATTGTTTTAAAAGTGTTGTAAAAAAAATTAAAATAATTTTTGGCAAACTCAATAAAAAGTGTTATAGAATGTTGAAAAAGTTATTAATAATATTTTTTATATTTATAATAAAAATAAAATAATTAATTTTATTAATAAATTAAATCACGGTGAAAAATAAATAAAATAAAAAATATTTTTGTTAATTATAATAAAAATAAATGAAATGAAATATAAAATAATATAATTTTATTTATAATTTTGTGAATTATTGAAGAGTAAATTAATAAATCAAATTATATAAACATTTTTTTATTTAAAAAAATGGAGAATTAAAACTAATTCTTTGAGTTTAAAAATATGTTTCATATATGAAATTATCATTAAGTCAAATGCACGAGTGCAAAATATATATTTATTTATTTTAATATTAAGGATATATATATTTCAGATAAATATTCTCAAAATTTTCCAATAAATTGATGCATGCATTGCAAATTTGCAATGCCATTAATTAATAGTTTGATAAAATAAGAAAGACTGCATCATCATAATCATAAAATTCATAATCTCCATGATTTCCTTACAAATGGTGTAGGTATTCCTCGAAATTTCAAATTCAAAGCAAAAATTCTGAAAATACGGAGTCTTTTGCCGTGTCTCTTTGTATGCAAACTCATTTTCCACAACAAAAGCCTCACCCATCTACTTCACTAGCATCTGAGTGTCCACAAACAAAACGTATCCATTTTAAAGTTATTTTTAAAATTACTACATATTTTTGAAAGTTGGTCTAGATTCTCCTTGCTCTCTTCTGTTTGTCTTTTCTTTGTTTGAAATCTCTCTGACCAAGTCGTGGGTTAGCTCAACCGTATCTTTGTCATTTTTCCACCCCACTTTTGTCTGTAACTCTCAGTCTCTATATTTGAATTTCAAGAAAAAATTTTGAGAGAATTAAGTACCCACCAACGAGTCCAATTTTTTCCTCTGAGAAAGAAAGTTGAAGAAGAAGCTGAGAACCAGTTTAAAGTTGGATTTGGGTATTTAGGTGTTGTTTTTATCTTTTCACGTGTTAAGAAATCTCGGGTGTTTCTTTATCAAAGGTCTCTTCTTTTTCATTTTCACTGGAAAATGGGCTTTTGGGTTATTATTCTTTAGGATCAAAGATGTTAGTTTTGCATGAAAAAGATTGTTATTTCTTCCTTTTCTCTTTCTATATTTGAAAGTTTAAAAATTGGTTCTTGTTGTTTTCTAATATTTGTTTTTTGGAGTTTTAGAAAGATGCAATGAAGAGAAAAGGAACTCATTATGGTTGATGGGGTCAGCCTGTGAGTTGTGATCAGTATGAACAAAAAAACAAAAGAACTAGTGCTTGAAACAAAAGAAGGGACCACTAAGATCTGTCCTTGGGATTGTTCTTCTTTTACTTTTTATAATTTTCTTTGAGTCAATTTGTTTCGTCACTGTCTTATAGCTAGGAAGCTTTTTACCAAGTGAAAACCGAAAAACCTTGAATTGCTTTGCTCTCTCTTTTGGTCCGTCCATCAATCCATATTTTCATTAGACATCTCCTTTTACTTTTTTTTCTCCTTCATTTTCAATGGATATGAAAGGGGCAGAAAAGCAACCTACTTCTCTGCTTTTAAATCAACTTTGATTTACTTTTGAAGGGTATGCCAAGTTTTCCCCTTTGTTTTTAGTCACTATGGAAGCTACTTTTGCCCCACTTTCTTTTTCTCCTTTTTATAATTGCATATTCTTTGCATTTAGTCAATTTCCTGTTTTTGGGTTTTACTTTTGGCTTTTGGCACAATTATATCCTCATAATATTCACATATTTTGGTTTAGCTCTGATTTTCATGAAATGGAAATGTAATTCATTATTCTAAGATAGATTCAAAGATATTTTGTTTTCTAAAAATTTCCTTTTTTTTTCCCTTTTTTGAAATGGTCTTTATTTCTGTATCTGTTGGTTGTCTCGTTTTTGTGTGACTTAAAGCAAAGCTACCAGGCTGAGGTTTTTTTGATTTGTATGGCTGTGTTGAAAATGACTGGTAGCTGTGCATTCAATGAGTTTGATTGTCCTTATTTACATATTCACAAGTCACACAGTACTATGTCTAAAAGCAACTCCTCATTCTTCCAAAAGATTGTTGATGACAAAATCTATCTTAAGAATTAAAATTCTAAAAAAGACAGGCTTTTGATGTTTGATTTGAATCTGCAGGATTTATGATGCTTGTTTGTTTATGGTGGGGATATAGACTGCAAACTACTTCAGAAATTCCAGAGTGTGCTTTATTTGATAAAAGCCAAACCCCATGATCACAGGATGTGTGACTCGTCGGTTGTGCAATCTGCCTTGAGCCAGTAAGGATTGCATTGTTTAGTTTCTTTGTTTGCTTCCTTGCTTATGCTCTTATTGGTTTACAAATGGACTTGTTTTTTTATGTCATGGTTTTTTGTATTTTACTTTCTTTCTTTCTTTGTTTACCTTTGAATGACTTTTTCTGCAGAAATGATTCCATTTCGAAATGTTCACATTCTAGGGCAATTTATTGCAACTCAGGATCTCAGTTAGATATTGTGGATGAACTTCAAGACAATAACTTATCCTCAGAGGTCAGTGCTGGTGTGCTTGTCCCTTTTAATAATTGTGGATAAAGACTGACTGAAACATCCATGGAACTAAGTGATGGTTGGCCATAACAATTTGCTTTTCATCTTCCCCCTTTTCTGCTATCTGACAGCAGTTGAAGCCAATCTTCATGTAATTTTCTACAATTTTAATATACTGGTAATTAGAGTTTGCAGTTCTCATAAATCAAATATCTACAATCATACGCAGAGTTTTGAGTAATGATACCCATTGCAGAAGAGAGAAACAAGCATTTCCTTCCATCTTGTTTGTTGTTTACTGTGAATTTGGTGATTTATTCAGGAAAAGAGTTATAATGAAGAGACTGGAAGTGTCGAATCTTGTTTTAAAAGCAGCGATTCTTATCCTTATAGGTTTCAGCTCGAGCAGGATGTAAGCATCTCTCAACTGTGATAATGTTTTATCTACTGCATTATACTAGTTACTTAAGATGATAGGTTCGATTTGGATGCAAGATGGCTTCAAGTAGTTGTGAAGTGGCATTCTTGATTACATCTTTATTGAAATTTGTTATTTTTAATAGGCACTGAATATATGTGTTAACTATAGTACTGGGAATGGAAAATCACTGGCAAAGCTCCTGATGTTTATTTGTGGTGTTTAATGGCATTCTTCTAAGAGGAGAATGATATTTTCAGCTGCTTTTGGTTTTAATATGCTGATTGCTGGGAGAAATTTACTTGTTTTAGTCCCTATAATGGTTTCAGAACCGAAGGCAATCTCAAAAGCATGCTTAGGCTGTGGGGTAAATCTATATTCTATTTCAGTAACTATATTGTTTTGAAAATTTTGATAGGTACATATTTTACAACAAAAGCTACAAGAAGAGATGGATTTGCATTCTATCCTGGAAAATGCTCTAGAAAAAAATGCTACAGAATTGTCAAGTCCTTCATGTCTCCCACACCATGTATGTCAGTTATATTTAATCTTTACTTAAAGTTGGCAATTTCACCTTGTGACCTTGTCTAGATGCTGAGTACTTCAGGCTGTACATATTTTCCATTTTCAAATTTCATGTTGATAGTTTGTGTACCGAATTTTTGTGGAAGTTCAATATGTTATATGAGGTAGGGCAAGCAGCATAGGTGTTGTTTTGTTCTCTTCTTTCTTAACGGACATATAGATGTTTTCAGGCGCGAAGCTCTATGGGGGCTAGTGGGGGCTCAAGCCCCCACTGAGACCAAAAAGTTTTTGAAATTATATGTATTTTAGATAAAGTCCAAAAAGCTTTAATTTATTCAGTTAATTTGTTGTTGAGACTTAAATTGATTCTATCCGTTGTCATTACCACAGTAAAGAGAGCATTTTCAACAATAAACATTTTAAAGACTTGTTTGCGTTATTGAATGTAAAGTCAATAATTGAATGATAGTTTAATTGTAAATTGAAAAATATGTATGTCAACTAAAGTATGGTTGGTTCAAGTAGCAAAGAGAGTGTGCTCCTCTCTTTGTTGCTTAAGTTCGAATCAGTTGGGAGATTATGGGAACCTAATTTCTCGTGAATTCGCTAGGCTCAGTATAGATAAATCTACTTGGACTGGCCCAAAAAGGATGTACTGTACAAAGCCCAGGAACCCCTTGCCACTAAATAAAAAAAAAGAAAAATTAATATTTCTAAAGTGTTGATAACGAAGATATAAACTATTGTACAATGTTTATAAAATTTGAAATCACGTTAAGGACAATTGTAAAATTTTTAACAATTATAACTGAATAGGAAAGTTTTAGTCTTTTTAGTACTAGTATGTTGTTATTGTTGTTTTTTATAATTTAGTATATTTGAACTAAGCCCCCACTAACTAAAATTTCTGGCTCTACCTTGGATGTTTTGACCTTTATTCTTATTAATCAATGTTACTCTTATTCCTTTTATGCCACAACTTCTGGACAGCAATTAGGACTATTATTTTCCGCAAGAGCTGATTGTTGTTATCCTTATTCACACATATATAGCAATTGTCTGGATGATTTAATTGCTGTTATAAGTATCATTTAAGCCAATGGTCCCATTTCATGCATTATTAGCAGGATGCTGCCCTTGCAAGGGTGTGCAAAAGCAGGCAAGCTGATTCCTCATAATGTAGAAATTTCAGTCTTACCAACATTTGAAAAATGCTACTTTGCTTTGAACATCTCCAATATTTCATTGGTTCCTAATAAGTAGCCATCTCAAATCATGGAGTTTAATATTATTTGCTTCTCTCTCGTTCTTCATGATTTCTACTTATGAAATGCACTGAACTATTGGTCAACTTCATACGATCAGTTTAGGCATTCCTGTTAAGTTCTGAACAGGTTTCTTTACATTTTAAAGATTGTTATAATGTTTCCCCTGTTCTTATTCTCTTACAGGCTCAGGAGCTTCTATCCCATATTGCAGTATTGGAGGTTACTATCTCAAAACTTGAACAAGAGATGGTCTCTTTGCATTTCCAGCTTAGTCAAGAGAGAAATGAAAGGAGGCTTGCGGAATACCGTTTGAGGCATTCAGTTTCTCCATCTGTATGTATCTGTCTCTATTATCAAATTGCTGCTAGCTAATATCTCTTTACAAAAACATAAATCCTTCCTCATTATAACTGCACTTTCTTTCTACTTATTTAACTTTTTTTTCGAAGTTAAGCTTGTTCCATAATGTGTTGAAGCCAATGATTTAAGATTATAGTTGTTTTGTAGCCCGTTAACATCTTTGTTCTGTTTTTTTTTTGTCAAGAACATCTTTGTTGTGGTTAGCTGTGATGATATTGATCTTATAGTACTTGTTGTAATAAAGTGACAGGAATAAATTGACTAGAAAATAAGTCCAATATGAGTCAAGAAATAAATGCGAAATAACAAAAAAAAGAAAAAAGAAAAAAGAATACAAGAATTTGTGGTTCGCCTTTATGCCTACATCCATGGTAGAGATGATGAGAAAAATTTACCAGAATTGAAGAAGATGAATAATACGACAAGTTTTGGAGCCCAAAACTAATTTGGATAATCTATTCCCACAAATCTGAGAGCAAGAGTTCTTGAACTTCACTATAATCAAGAGCTCTTGCTCTCGAGTTTGTGGCTGTAGAGTCTAGGGTGAGCCCTTTAATTATAATAAATTTTCTTGTTCTCTCTACTCGTGGACCTAGGCATAAAGCTAAATCACATGAAACTAGTGCTGGCATAGTTATTAAAGCCAGATGGGCATGACAGTCAATTGGCTGACCTGCTGCCCTGGCCATGGGACTGAACTGGTTCTTATGTTGAACCAGATGAGCAAATGACTTCGTCAAACTTGGTCAAATTTATGGATTTTTTATGTGTTTTGCATTAACTGGTATTGACCTTGACGGTTAAACCGGTTTTGACTCATAAATTAAAAGCACTAGAATGTCATTAATGAGATTGAAACCTTGGTCTTAAGTAAGAACTAAACCTTTATAAACATTGAGTCAAGCATTACATTTGTGTTTATCTATCAAATGTATAATTACATTGTTATATAAATAAAATTATTTAAATAAAAAATCAAATATGCAGTTCAGCCGTTGATCCCACGGTTGAACCTTTGACATGGTGACCAGACTTGTTTTCTGGGTTGGTCTCTGAGTTGGTTTAATAATTACGAGCGCTGGCTCCATCATGGAAGCCATTTGAAGTAAAGTGGTAGTGGGGCTAGATGCACCATCTGCCCAAGTGTCAACTACCAACCGGCAATCAATTAACATGTTCATAAGATGGGGATGACTTGGCCATTTTCTAATTGTACTATATTTGAACTTTGTAACACTGTATCTTTTCTTTCTTTTTATTTTATTTTATTTTATTTCCTCACAGCATCTGAGACTTTTCATCTGGTTTGTAAGCCATGATTTGCGCACCTAATGATCGACATATTTTTTCCTCTAAAAATCCCCCTCTAATGTTGTGGGGATGAGCTGAATGTGCATGATTCATGTAATTGTACTTTGCCTGCAATTACTATTAGTTATTTTGTAACCTCAGAAGTAGCTTTGAATTCTGTAATGGTCAATATTCTTTTAACTATAACTATATATATAAATATAATGGTAGATGATATTAAGGTGACATAAGAAAAGTATTGCATGTATAATGTGTTACATACTTTGGCTGCAAATATGAAATTTTCTTTTGTATCCAGATATCACCTTTATCAAGATGTTTGCAGCACTCAAATTCTGTACCGCATCATTCCTCAGTATGTAACTCTTGCCAAGAGCCTACAGACCAACCATCAGAATCTACCGGTGAACCATCTTCTATGGAGTCTGTAAGAGAGGTATATGTCTAGCTTCCTTTGTGCTCTGGAGCTTTCAACTTCATAATTATTTTGACAGCTATAATGCTTCATGCTTAATAAAAAATTGGTTCCATTTTTAAAGTATGTCAGTCGACATTCTTGTAACTGAAAGCTTCAATAAGTATTTTGCCTATCTACTCTGCGTAACCAAATTCTTGTTGTGGATTGAAGTTTTGAAGAGAATTTTGGAAAACTACATACTACATATGATGATGTTCATTCTAAATTTTGTTTTGTAATTTTTCTTAGCATATATGCAATTCATATACTCCTTGTTTCTTTTCATGTTTTTGTCGACTATATAGTTCATTTGACCACAGTTATAAAGATTTAGGCTTCACACCTACTTCTCAAAAGCCTAAGGTTTTGCTCACAATCCTAAATAAGGCATAATGGCTACAGGAATTCTCATGAAGATTGTTTTTTTTTCTAAAATTTGAAAAAGCTTATGTGGTTGTTAATGCGTGCAGTTCTAATAACCATATTCATGTAATGACTTGAGATTCAATTGGAAATCCATTACAAGTGACTTAAAGCAACTCCTAAACAATAAGTAGAACCTAATAAGTCAAGGAAAACCTTTAAAATAGAACCTAGGCTAGATATCTTCAGCAAATCTGGAAAGTAACTGAATACTCTGATACAAACTCAAGAAAGTATAAAATAAAAGAAAAAAAAAACACTTTCTTTCCTAAAGAAACAAAAATCAATTATAACTTAGGCCCTAATATGTTTAACATCAAATAAGGATGCGGGTTTTCTTGGAATTTCATTATGACTTTTCTTGCTTTATCTTGATCACCTGTCCATTTATCTACAAGCATGATTGTGACAGTAGAAAGATTGAAATTGAACATATGGTATTCAAGTTCATATGAAGAAAAGTGTGCTTTTGTTTGACAAGGAAGTTGCTATTGAGAGGATTTTTCTGGAAATATTTGTTTTACAGATGACAGATTGGTTAATAGTTACCCTTTAGAAAGAAACATCTTATGTTTGAGAAGTCTCCTTACATATAACTTGAACTGGCCATTCATATAAATTTGAGTTTGAATATTGAATTATGACAACATGAAGTACTGCCGTAAGAAAAGCTTGTAATACATGACAGCTATTAACTGCTGACATGACTTGGTGCAGGCCACGATTGAAGAATGAAAATCACACTTTATTTTTGGAAACCTAAAGCCACTTGGAGACTCATTAGGGAGTAGGCATAGTCCTAAACATAATAAAGAGATAAGATTACATTTTCAATATTAGAAGCTTTGTAACAATTTAAAGTTTTACTGATGGATCTTGTGTTCATATCTTGTTTCATAACCTGTCTCTATCACAATGCATAACAGATATGACATTTTTTTATTTTTAGTGATGATTAGGACCGAAAACTGCAGAAGGTTTTATTGAGCTTTTAATAATTATAATTTACAGCAGAATGCAGTGGACTCGCTTTTGCATCATGATGGGAAGAAAATATCTGCAAAGACAGATGGCATATCTTGTCAATCTTTACAGTTTGAGAAGATTTCCAGAGGGATACCTCCTAAAGGCCTTTGGGATCACCCTAACCAATTATCAGAAGAGATGGTAAGATGCATGAGAAATATATTCATATCTCTTGCGGATTCAGCTGTCCCTTCGAAATCTTCTGCATTTAAGAGCCACAGCTCAAGTCTATCACCACGGGGACATCTATCAAATTCATCATGGTGGTCGTCATCTGAACGCTCGATGATACCATCATGGGTGCAAAGCCCACAGGTTGATATTCAGAGCAACTCTGAAGTTTTGGCTTCAGAGAATTCCTTTGATCCCTATAGAGTACGTGGAAAATTAAGCTGGGCTGAAATTGGAAACTATGGCTCAGCAAATGAAGTATCTTGGATGTCAGTTGGGAAGAAGCAGCTGGAATATGCATCCGGGGCCTTAAGGAGGTTCAGGTATTATGCTTGTCAAACCTTTCTGGCTAACCATTCTCTCACTCAGCAAATGATTATCAAATGAGGATTTTGAAACTTTAGAGATTTACTTTCTTTGGGGCAGAATAGAGAAATAGCTTAATAGGTTATAAATATAGTGATTATAGCATGAGCGGAATCTCTTCATATTTTTCCTTCTAAATGGATATTACTCTTTTTTATTTTTCCAAAAAAAAAAAAAAAAGAAATTGCTAAAAAATATTTTAAGTTAAAAACCTTTAAAATACTATGTTTCGTTTGGAAAATCTTAACTGTTGTATGGGACTTTAGCCGATTCAGTACTGTTTTGCTTTTAATTTTTATGGAGAACAGAACACTTGTGGAGCAACTGGCTAAAGTGAATCCTATACACTTGAGTTGCAATGAGAAGCTTGCCTTCTGGATCAACTTGTATAATGCTCTAATCATGCATGTAGGTTTCTGTATTTCTTTTGCAAGTGAAACTTTTCCATTACATCCCTAGAGTGGAGTTTCATATAACAAGTTCAGCTTGACAATTTTGTTCTGTGCTGTCTACATTATGGACAGGCTTACTTAGCATATGGAGTTCCAAGAAGTGACTTGAAGTTCTTCTCCCTGATGCAAAAGGTATAAATTGTCAAATGTGTACCCTGAATCTGCATTGAATTTATTTTCCCAGTTTTAGTTTATCTTATTATCTTTTAGCATAAGTTTTGATATTGAGACTTGCCATTTTCCCCTTTAGAAAGGGGGAAGGTGTTACTTTTGTTGTATTCAATGCATCATCCAGGGAACATCCGTGCTGGTCTATTAGTCCATAGTCAGCTTGATGATGCTGTCGGTGCCTTGTTTTGACAGGCAGTGAAGTGAAAACATGCTTCTATTATTTCTGTTCTTCATAATCTTGTAAATAAACCCCTATTATTTTGGAGAATGCTGTGGTAGCTTTTAGTCGATAAATTTTGATTCAGTGATCAACAGAGTAGATGCAGTTAGTTATGTTATAGAGCAGGAAGACTGCTGAGGAAGCAAAAACTAGCCCAAACTGCATGGTTTCGGGCTGGTGATTAATCTTTTATAGCAGTATGTCAAGTGTGGCCCTTTGTGTTAAATATTAGATGCCTGCCTGTTCTACCATTATCATATCCGATTTCTTATTGCATTTAGGTATCTACTTTCTAGTCTCCTTTATACAACTTTCCAAAATTTCCCATGGGTGGGTTAAGTAATTTTTTACTATTATATTTGCCGAGTTAATGCAAAATTTCATTATTCCACCAAAGCCTAAATGATCACTAAAACTATTTTTTATGTGTTAAGTAATTCTGAAGATATGACTTGTATAGAGTTCAAGCTAACATAATCAGGGCTAAAGAAACAAGTTTTCCTCCTAAAAGAAGCAATAATAATGAAATGGAAGAATTTGGGACAATAATTTAGATAAAGCCCTTTATGCATTTTCACTTGGCACTCTCATGTTCAAATCTAGTACTTTGGAGAAATTTCATGGTTCAAAAGGCAATAAACAATTAAGTAGTTCCTTCATTAGAGATCTTATCTCTGGAATTTCTGAGTGTTTTTTGTTATATTTTTTTCTTTCTAATTTCTATTTCTGTTTTCAGTTGTCCTTGCAAAAGTCTCTAATTAGTTTTCACATGTAATAACATCAGGGGATGACTTCAAGTGGAGAATTAGAAGATGATTGTTGTTATAATTTTTTTTTTGAAATTATGATTGTTCATATAATTAACTGTGTTATTTTTGTTATTTTTTTTTTATCTGATGAAAGATTTTACTCTTCCAGGCCGCATATACAGTTGGAGGCCACTCCTTCAGTGCAGCTGCAATTGAATATGTCATTCTGAAGATGAAACCACCTTTGCATAGACCACAAATTGTATGGATTTGCTGTGATGATATTGCACTTTGTTTTTTTCTTGTTTGCTTCTACTTCACGAACTAATGCTATTAACAACTAACAAATGTAAAAACTTTCTCAGGCTTTGCTTCTTGCTCTTCACAAACTGAAGGTGTCAGATGAGCAACGCAAGTCCGCAATTGATGCATATGAACCACTTGTATCTTTTGCACTCAGTTGTGGGATGTACTCATCACCTGCGGTAATCTCAATATTTTGTTTCCTCTTTAAACGCTCATATAGACTCACACACGCATGCACCCTATCTTGGTTGTTGTGAGTTGTAGATTTTATGACTGGGGGTGCAAATGCCAGGTGAGGATCTACACTGCTAAGAATGTTAGGGAGGAGCTTGAAGAAGCTCAGCATGATTTTATACGAGCTTCGGTCGGGGTTAGCAGCAAAGGGAAGCTATTAGTTCCAAAATTATTGCACTGCTTTGCTAAGGGCTTTGTGGATGATTCTAATTTGGCTGTATGGATATCTCATTACCTTCCACCCCATCAAGCTGCTTTTGTCGAGCAATGCATATCACAAAGGAGGCAAAGCCTTATTATTTCCCGAAACTGTGGTATTCTTTCCTTCGATTCACGATTCCGTTACTTATTCCTGCCTGACAAAATTTCTCTCCAATGATATCTATATTATCTTTCCATCCTTCCGGAACCATTCTTGTTAATTTGAATTATGCACACTAAGCTACAAAACTTAGGCTGCATCCATGCCAGTGTGAATCTTAGCATCCTTGAGAAAGACAAGGTTCATTGCAGTTTTGATCTTTGCCCTTGCATCCAGACATCCTGTTCTGGGTGATGTACATTTTCTTCATGGCTACTACAAGTAAATAAAGTGCTTTAGCTGTTGATGTTGCGTTTTCTTGATCCAACAATGTCAGAATAAATACTTCTTGGGGTTATTATTTGCAGACAATACAGGGTAACCTACAAAGCTCATCTTACAGGATAAACAACTATGGATGGTCTTATCGTTCGACATTGTGTCCGAGTACACGCGTGCATAGTTCATCAAGAAATCAAATGTCATTTTTTTATTTGTTGTCTCGGACACTATGGAATGATAAATGTCAATTATTTTAGCATTTGCTATTATTAAACAACTTTTACCATGTAAGATGGAACCGTTATTCAAGCTATTGTGCATGTTCCAAATGCGAACATGACCTCAACAGTCAAGACTGAACAAGTAATCATTGGAAAATTTCTTTAAAAGCAAACTAAGGAAAACGATATTGGTTTATGTTTCATTACTTGTTTGACAACTCTTAGGTGGATCTTGTGCCCAAAATTTATTTGGCTTTGGTCGCTCCCTAATACAGCAGTAGTCCATTTTTGGATCTACGCTGTAGTATTCCAACCAAGCCAAGCTAAAGCCCCTATACAAACAAAATGATGCTTAGTCTTAGGAATGACCTCAACCAATACACATCAAGGCCACGCCACAAGGATGCCTGATCAACATGGACCGGAGCTCTCATGTCTTGGGGTAAACCCAACCAATTATCCAACCAACTCTTATTTGTGCGTAATTGCTAAGGGTTTAAAATAGGCCTACAGTGATATCACTACTGCTCGAAGCCACCAGATTATGCCACTTGGCAGAATTTGACTCGTTGATGACTCTTGTCCAACTCTATAAATAGGAGCATTATCATATTTTTTTTGAAAGGTAAGAAGGCTTATATTAATATGGAAAAAATTTTAAAAGTTCAAGATAAACGTATAAAGAAAATAAGGGAAATTATGAACAAAATTAAATATGTAGAGAAATCTTGTGATTCTTAAGCACTGGATTTGGGGTAAATTTCATAAATGTCACTTAATATATATTTATTTTATTTGGGTTACTGAATTTTAATTTATTTCATCAAAATTATTAAGTTTATGTTTGGATTGAAGTTTGTAAAGAAAAGGAAAGAAAAAAAAAGTTTTTAAAAGAAAGAAAATGATAGTTCGTTATCTGATTTGGATAGCTAAAATGAGTAAAGGAAAGAAAAGAAATAAATTGATTACAACTTTTGTTTGGTTAAACTGTGAAAAAGAAAAGAAAGAAGATATCATATTATATTACTCCAATTATACTCTTTTAAAATAAAATATTTTTATATCATGTGAATAATCTTAATATTAATATTTCAAATAATTTTGAAAATTAATAAAAATAATTTCAATTAAAAATATTATTAATAATTAATTCATAAAAATGTATGTTTGGAATTATTTTTATACTATAAATTTTTTTCAAATTAATCCATAAATGAGAAAATAAAAAATTAAATATTTGTTATTAAGATAAAATTAATCATAAATTTGTTTAAGTATTAGTATTTTCCTACAGTTGTACATGTTTGTCAAGTTCTTTTATTTTTATTATTTAGAATTTGTGAAGTGATAATAAATAAAAAAAAACTAAAACCTAAGCATAAATTAAAAACATATAGAATTCCAAGTTATTAATAAAAAAAAAAGTTGAGGAATGAGTTGCAAAAGATTTAAAGATAGTATCAATGGTTAAGCTTGAATATTATAATATTATTTTTTCAAAATGATAAAATATAATAAGAATATAAAAGTCATTTTACATTCAAGAATTTTTAATCTTTTCCTTTCCTTATTGCTTATCCTAATGTGGGGTAGTTAAAAATTAGAACTTCTAAGAGAAAAGGAGGATGCTTAATTTTCTTTGCTTTCTTTTATTAAAATATAAATTATAAATCAAACAAAGGAAATGTTTTTTCTTTTTTTTTTTTAATTTCCTTTCCTTCATTTTCCCTCAATCCAAACATAATCTAAAATTTGTTAAGTATACTCAAATTAGTCACCTTAACACATCCCATCCAAATTTTGACAAAAAGATGATATGGCTACCATGTTATTAGTCACATCATCTACATATAAGCTAATTTAACCCATATAATTTCATGAAAGGTTATTAAACTTTCACCAAATTTTCAAATAGGTAACTAAACTTGAATTTGTTACTACAAGATCATTAAAATTTGTTAAATGTAACAAATTTAGTTAGTTTAATAAATTTTATCCAAAATAAAAAGTTAGATAAATTTTAAATATTGAACTTAACCAAACAACATCCATATTTTCTATATATACAAAAGTCCTCTTATAACCCACAGAAAATATAAGAAAAAAAGTAAAACCAGAGCAAATAGTCACAAACTTTTAATAACTATTTGTTTTTTTTTTTTTTGAAGTATTACTACTTTTATTTAAATTAAAGAGTATAGATATTTAAATAAAAAGTCTTTACAATTTAGTTAAAAAAGTAATGCTTTAAGAAAAATAATTATTCATTAAAGTTTTGTTTGCTTTCAATTTACTTAATTTTTTTCTTTTGATTTTATCTGGGGTATGAGAGGATTTTTGGTTACATAAAATTTGATTGTTGTTTGGTTGAGTTTGATATTTAAATTTTATCTAACTTTTATTTTGGATGAAATTTATTAGAACGATCAAATTTGTTACACTTAACAAAATTTAGTGAACTTGTAATAATAATTAAAGTTCAATGACCTATTTGAAAAATGGATGAAAGTTTAATGACCTTTCATGAAATTATATAAGTTTAGTTGGTTGATATAAAGTTGATGTGGCTGATGACGTAGTGATGTCATTTTTTTTGTTAAAATTTGGATGAAATTTGTTAAGATGACCAATTTTGGTATACTTATCTTAACAAACTTTAGTGATGTGAATGGAATAAATTAAAGTTCAATAATCCAAACGGGATTTGGATATAAGTTAAATGACCTTTCATTAAATTTACTCCCAGATTTGGCCAACTCGTCAGTAATGGAGTTTTGTTCTCTTGAAATGAGAAAGATATACACAAACTTTACTTTTGTTTAGAGTTGTTACATATGATTAAAGAAGTTCTTCATGCACCAAGAATCTTTGGATGCATTTTGGGTCCATGAAAGAACATTTGTCAAATCACTTTCAATGATAATTTGGAGGGTGTTGTTGAAATCAAATGCAACAAAGAATAAAAAAGCTTTTCTAACAATAATAAATTCATCAAAATAGAGTCAACATTGCCAATTGATTTAGAGAAAATTCCACGTATTGGTCCTATTTCATTTTTAAGTATTTTATCTATGCTTACAAGTTATGATTTTTCAAAGGCTAAACCATTAACGATCATTTTCATGAAATTGAATGGAGGACATGACATAACACAAATTAGAGGTTAGCTCTCTAAAACTCTCTTATAACTTTTTTCTTTATGATCACTTGAGATTCTGAATTGATTTGAGTGTCAAGACTCATCCCAGAGTTAATGATTTGATAAGACATAACACCAACTATAGGTTTTTTTTTTTCTCTAAAAGTCTCCAACTACTTTTTTCTCTACGATAAATTGAGATCCTAAATTGATTTGAATGTCAAGACACGTCCTAGAGTTAATGATTTGATAAGACATAACTCAAACCAGATGTTTTTTTTCTCTAAAAATCTCTAACTACTTTTCTTTCTATGATCACCTGAGATCCTAAATTGACTTATGTATTGCATTGCGTCCTGAAGTTATTGATTTGACAAGACATAACACAAACTAGATATTTTCTTTCTAAAACTTTTTATTTCTCTATCTTTAATCACTTAAAGTCATGTATTGACTTGAATGTTAAAGTGTCTTGGAGTCACAACTCTAGTTCCTCTTAGCCACTTCTTCTCTTGGTGACTTCATATATTGCAAAGAGAAGTAGCTAGGGGAACCGAAGTTGTGTCTTTGAGAACTAATCATATTCTTCCTTAAAAATGAGCTCTCATGGTGTTTTTATTGATAGGAAAACTCATGGCGAATATCTAAATACACTCTATAAAATTTTGAATGACACATGTCCAAAACAACAAACTCATGGTGCTTATGAAAAAGACTTTTAAAAGCTAAAAAATGATGTAAGAGGTTTGACTTAAGTGGTGTAAGACTTCATGGCCATGAATTCACCATTAAGGGATGGTAACGCCTAACCAAAGTTGCAAGGGATGCCTAAACTAAATTGAGAAAGGCATTGGATATAGAAGAGGATGCTGATAAGAAAGAAGAAAAAGATGACCTGACTTGAAAGGTCGAATATGTAGCAAGCATTTTGGACACTAATACCTCATTTGTTAGCTTTCTTGCACAAATGAAAAGGTAATTAGGGAATGAAAGTCACTTTAAAGGATATGATAGATGAAAAGCCTGATAAGTCCCAACTTAAGTTCGGACATTCATTGGACTTAAGAGAAGGTTGAATAAAAAAAATATATCAACAAGCATAATAAGAAACTAGAAGAAGATAAAAAAAAGGAAGAAGTCAAATTGAGAGATAAATTGAACAAGAAAAGAGAGATTACTGAATTTAAGAAAAAGTGGAAAAATGTGAAAGAAAAAATGAAGGCTAATGTGAAGGAAAGAAAGGGTAACCCTAAACACTTCACACTTTTTGACATGGAAATGTTAGGAAACTCATATTTCAATAACTAAATGGATGCCACATTGCCACCCTATGACTTTAAAGTTTCCATAATAGAGATTTACGATGGCATTTCAGATCCTATTGATCACTTGGAGATCTTTCACACCATATCTATCTAAAGAGCATGTGAAGCCATCATGTGCAAAGCTCTTTTAGTCATTTTTAAGAAGGGTGTAAGATTTTGGTACTCTTAACTTAAGTTAAAATCTATAAACACCTTTAAAGAGTTAAGGTATTAGCTTGTGCGTAACATAAGTCCCAAAAGGACATCAATTAGCTTAAGTCTGTGATGTAAAAAACATGATGAATTTTTTAGAGTTTCATCTCAAGGTTCAGTGGTGAAGTAATTCAAATGAAATACCTTGATTCGATCATCTCCATTGCCATTTTCATTAATGGTCTTAGAGATAAGGACTTTACCAAGTCGCTATCTAAGAAACCACCCATGGTCTTTTTTAACTTCTTCATTGTTAGTGTATATGCCTTATGACCAAGTAGATTGGCTATAGATACATGTGATCTTAGGAATTACTTTTGTTAACAAAAGACATTCTTTATCTACAAGCTAGAATATATATTTGATATTACTTACTTCTTAGATAAAATCCATGAATAAAAATGCTTTGAAAGGAAATTACAAAGAGTTATAATTATGATATTGTCATTGCATCAAAGCTATATTCCTAAATTGTTCATAGCCAATGCTTTATTGAGATAAAGCATTGGTAGAGCTTTAGAAACTAACAAATAATTATGCTCTTACTTACAAAGAAAGTAACAGATCTCATAAGTTGAAGTTTCAATATAATTAAACTAACATGTAGGTGTTTGTTGCAAGAACAAGTTCATTAAACATAAACCAATATTGAAATACCATTTGGTAAATCACTTAAGTGTCTATAGCAACATTCACATGTGGTAGTTGTATAAATAATCTTCCAACTCAATATTATTATCAAATCTTATATGAGAAATATTATACTTTGATTTTACGTTAATTATAGCCCTAACAACAGATGCCCAGTTAGGTATTATTGGGAATAACATAAGACATATGAAGGAACATAAGTAATCAAAATATGATTCATTTCTTTGAGTGATCTAATATCTCAATTGGTCTTAATAAGAATTAATTAAAGAAATCTTTGACATGGAATGATTTCAAATAGTTTTAAAGCTT